CCCTAGATAGCTTTTGTTTGAAAAGAGATGGCGGTAGCTTCGTAACAAAACAAACTCCGTCATGTACGAAAGCGGACTTGAAAACAATGATGATGTATTTGTATACTAATGCATGTTTTGAGAGTGATTACCAAGAATGCTGCTCTCCTGTGTCTCTCTGGTATCTGCTCGGGAGAGCTTCCGACCTGTCGATGATCAAGAAGCGGAACATCTCCATTGATGCGGGTGCCTTCTTCATACGCTTGGTTCGTGTCAAGACATCGGAAGAGCAAGGCCTATCGCCCTTCCCGAACGCCGACTTTTTTTATCTGTCCCTTGCTAGCTGTCGCGCTCGCCCTCTCCGTCCGTCCCCAGCTCTCATTAACAACCTGCCCATCCAAGTCCTTTAAACACCGATCTCGTTCTCTCCGGATGTTCCGCTCGTGGAGCCTCTCAACGCACCGCTGTTGATCCCTGGTCTTTCGACGTCTGTGCCTCCACCTCCTCGTGCTGACACGGCACCGACGATTTACGCGCATGTCAACCGTGTGCTTGATCGTGTCTGCCCTGATGTGGGTATGTCGGCTGCGTAACGTCGCACTCTTTCCTCTGCGTTGGGGCGCGGCATGCCAACGGCTGCGAGAAGATGACTGTGCGCTCAATCTTTGACAGCGGATCTTGGAACCTAAGTATCACAAACAAGGGATTCAACTACATATTCAACACGAGTAGAGAATATCATATGATTGCCAAAGCATTGAGCGGATACAAACCGTCGGCCGCTGTCCATCTACAAGACCTGTCCAGCTTCCAGGCCAACACGCTTGAATCGATCGCTCGGTTCCAACGGGTTCGCAGCTTGCTACCAGCTTGAGACGGAGGCCTTCAACATCAACCGAAAGATTTTGGACGTTCTTACCGCCTGTCTCGTTCGGCACTATCCTGTGTTGAAGGACTTGAATCCTAAAAGTCCCGCGCTGAATCGACTCGAAACCTGTATTGCATACGCTGGGCGTACGCTTGCCGATCTCCTTGCCTGGTCAGCCCATCTTGCCGAAGCTCGGAATCCCTGTAAAGAAAGTGAGAACCCGCCACATCGCCACGCAAGCACGAGTCCAACCCAAGAGAGCCAAGCCAAGAACAGAAGATCATCGAGCACCAAGCCGCTGTCATTAAACACCTTATCGAGAATTCCAAGCGCCAATATACCCGCATGGGCATGCTAGAGGAAAAGCTTAACGGAGATCTTGTAGCTGCAGCGCACAAGAGGAACACGCAAGGTGAAGACACAGCAGATGTGAGCGAGCCCAAGAAGAAACAGCGCAGAGGATCTGTTACACACCTTCACGCAGCTTGGTTTACCTGGAGCCAGGCTGGCATGCCGGAGAAGCAAAGCAGCAGCGGTCAAAAGCAAAGCTGCTGCTTCCGTTCATGAAGCTGTTTCGTAAAGACGGCTTCGAGCTCGACCAAACGTCCGCAGACTATCGGGATCAAGTGCTTGAGCATGGAAAGCGCGCCGAGAATGCTGTACTCGCATTCGTGAAGAAGGAGAACTACATCAACTCCCGCGGATCGAGCGCGGTCCTCAAGCATCTCCAGGGGATCCACAGCGCCGGCAGTCTAAATGCCATGATTCAACGCCATTGCCGACTTCTCCAGACACCTGCAATTCAAGATCCGGCTCCTGGCTACACGCAAGATGTACTCGATGAGGTTAGTAAGTAGAACAAACAATCGGAATTCATGTACGTTCACCCTTCTTCGCGGCGCAC